GAAAGGAAAGAGGCTCACTCACTTCTCAATATAACCTGTGAAAGTTTTTACTCAATACTCTATTCTCCTGACTACCAAAAAGTAAGAAATTTTAATTTTAGCTACAGAGCTTTTAATACAGAGTAAGCACACTATCACATCATTTATGCACTGACATTTTCCAGAAAATTTAAGCGGTCCTTAAGGAAGTTAAAAGAATAGATTCTTTCTGAACATACTTACTCAGTATCTTTCCACTAACTTCTTACCTAACAAAGTAACAAAAGTGAAGAAACTGAACTGTGCCATACATTTTATATATGTGTGTATAAATATATATATTCATATATAGGAAGTATATATATATATATACACAGATATGAATATATATGTATACAAAAGAAAAAATGGTAAAACTGCATTAACTCATATGTGGTGATTTTCTAGGCAATTTCATGAGATATTTCTAGTTATTAAGGTAATTTCATCACCTCAGTACTAATTTATAACCTTCAAAACATTAAATTTTGGTAGAAAATAAAAATTATTCCCTCTTCTATTCTTTACTGACCATGTCTCCCAAAACTCAGCTATTCCTTTTGCCTTCTTGTTTCTTTTATCAAAGGCTTTTAATGAAAGGGATCTGAGAACTGAAACACCAGTCTTGTAGAGCAGCCTTTATAATTGAAAAGAAGCTATGATCCCCCTTTACATGATCCCCAAACAGTCCTTGAATCCATGTGACATGTATATTTTTTTCCATGTATATGTAAGTATAAGTTGATTTTAATAAATTTCTTCCTGTAAAATGATCGTTTCTTTTTTTTTTCCTTTGTGTAAAATACATTAAGTGTATTTTACGGATAAAATAGGGTCTGGGTCTTATTCTTTCTGAACCTACAATACCCAGCACAGTATAATATAAACAGCTTGCTGTCACACAACTATTTATGCAAAAGATCTTAACAGAAAACCCACCTACTCAGAAAGCACACCTTGAAATGATGGAACAATTTATTTTAAAAGGAAATTTACTTCGTGATAAAAGAAGTCAACCTGTTCCAAGAGCTATTAAAGCTCTTAGGAACCACAGAAAGCAGGCTTAGTGTTACACCATCTGCCTTATAGAGAAAAGGGTGGTGGTGGGGGCGAAGTTACCTTTTTGTGCAGGGCATGAAATTCGCTGTACCTTTTTTCAACAAAATGTTTTCTTCCATTCATTAGCACTTCTATCTTAAACACCTAAGAAAAAAATAAAAAAGATTAATTCCACCAGTTCCAAACCCTCAATTGTCTGATGTGGTAAGTTTGTGACCATGATATATTTCATCCCTTTAATTACAGTAGCTGATCTCCCAAAACCCAGAAGGCTCAGGAGACCCTGGCCCAACAGCACTGATTAATGAGCCCTGGAGCCAAATGCTCACTAACAAACGGCAGTATCCCCACAAACGTGTCTAAAAACAGTGGCAGCTTAAATGCCTTAAAATGCTCCTTAACTTTTTAATCAGAGAACACTTCTTTCCTAAAATTACTTCACCAAATGCATATGATGGCACTGAAATACAAGTGTGATGCCACAGCGACAGTCTGGCAAAAATCGCAGGCCCACAGCATTGCGTTATGGGTATTTCAATGCAGGCAGTGCTGTGTCATCTCTAAGACAATAATGCAAACAGTAGTGCCTTTTAGGTTAATTTCTTCCTAACCTGCATATTCATCTCCAGTCTCAGCTGGCTAATTCTGCTGTTTGCAAAACAGGGAAAATGTAGTAAAGGTTCATTTTCCCTGCGTGATACGAGTGACAGCTTGTGCTCCCACCTCCAGGAGGTTGAAAGGCCAGATGAAAAGGCTCTCTGGGTGCACTAATTAGTAGGCACTAACATGACACTTTCTTGATTCTTAGGTCAGTGGGTCAAGACGGGGAACAAGGGACGCGGAATATTACGAAATGCTCATGAGAACACGATGTTAAAGTGGGTGGGGGGAGGCTGCTTGACAGGAGCTGAAGAGAAGGTGCTCTGTTATTTCCTAGAGTTTGTCTTTGACTTCTGCTTTGCTGAGCGAGTTTGTCATCACCAAGATGAAGCGGAATTGTTCCATGACTTAGTAAGCCTGGGCTCCCATTTCAATTGCCCTTCTGAAGAAAACGAAACTAAAGTTGAGGTCACGTGACACTGAAGAGTGTTAAAAGCAGGCTTACTTTAGCCCTAAAAAGAACTACTTAAAGTTAGAATATGAGATATGAGGTCACACACCTTCATTATGAAAATAGATCTCTATGGCTCTATATTTCTGCCTTATATGTAAATGTGACTTTTTTGGAAAGCCAGAAACTATATCATCAAACATAAAATGTGTTCGTATTTTTGCACTCCTTCCAATTAGAAACAAAATCTTCTGCTCCATGACTCAGTTTAAGAAACCTCCTTTTATTAAAGTGGTAAATTTCTATCAATTTAATCAACTGTTTTTTTCCCCCAAGAAATCCCCCTAAAAATTACTTTTCTTTGGTGAATTAGTGAAAATATTTTCTTCTAAAAACATATGCATATGCTTCAAACTCTCGGATATACGTACATTATTTTTTAGAAAAAAATTCTGTTTACTAGTTCACTAAAGAAAATTATTCTTCTGCAAAGACCATTCAAAGCCAGGAATACAATGAGGAAAGCACCCTGAGAAACACCAACAAAAGAAGCACAGCTTCAACTTGGGGGCTTGTTTAATAGCATACAGAGCCCCCTTTTTAGTGTCAGGTCCCAGATTTAAATCAGGACAATGTGGGAGCAATGAAAGGAGTTTCCATCTGCTGAGCTATGTGAAATAAAATGAAGTTACGTTTTGAGTCCAGTTACTTGAGGCTTCATCACAAAAACCATCACTTTAATTGGCACGTCTGCTGAAGAATCCACAGAAGGATGAGATAGTTGAAGACTCAGTAAGGTTCAACCTACTAGGCTGCCCCTCAGGTGCCCCCTCCTGAAAGCCACAGATAAGACACATTACACAGCAGCTGTCTCATGGAATGTCATCCCTTCTATCGACCAGACGGCTCCATTACCAAGGTCCACGGTTACTTTTCACAATTGCTAAATTCACTTTGGGTGCGGGGGTGGGGGGAAGCATTATAAATACGCACACGTGCACACACAGGGAAAAGTATGTGATAAATTTTAATTCTAATATTTTTATTATGTTGCCATTTTTAAAATGCACAATATACCTAATACTGTTAAGACTTTTTTCTTTTAAATTCTGGGAAAACACCTTGGAAAGGAAGTTGCTTAATCAGAATTTCCATGACAATATGAATGAAGCAAGAAATGGAGTCAGTTTAATAAATCTTATGTTCCTAAATTCCATACAAGACTTTTTTTTTTTTTAATAGTTTCTGATACGTGTTTTCCCGGCTGCCAGGAAAACCCTCTTCTTTCTCGGCTTTCCTGGCAAGCTCCTAGTACTTGTTATCTACCTCTAAGGTAGAGACAGCAAAGGATGATGTTTGCAAAACACGCAGCACAGTATCTGGCATTCATTCATTTAATTACTTAACAGATATTTACTAAGGGACTACAATGTGCCCAGGAGTTGTTCTAGGCTCTGAGGATCCAGCAGAGAAGAAAACAGAGAACAGCCCAGTCTTCGTGTCTTCATGGAGCACACATCCTTTCTAGTGAGGAAGGCCAATCATAAACATGTAAACAAATATGGTAAAGTCGAAACACAAAAAGTGCAGTGAAGAATACAGCAGAGTGATGAGACAGAGCTAGACAAGGGTGCTGTTTTAGACTGGGGTAAGAGGAGGCCTCTCTGAACAGAGGGGCAGTGAGAGGTACAAAATCTAGAGGGACACCAGGATAACGTGTAACGAGAGTTGAATGTGGCTGCCTCTGGAATTTCAGACCGGGCGTGGGTGGACAAGGGCTATTTGTTTTTATTCTTTAAAATTTTTTTTTTTTAAATTTCAGGTAGAGCCTAGAGCAGGGTGATATCCACTTCTGGCCAAGACAGAGTAACAGAGAGCAGTAACCCTCCCGCTTGAAACAACTAAAAAACTGGACAAGTATGTGGGGAGAGTGACTCTTAAGACATCGGACATGAGGAAATGAATGACCAGTCTTGTAGAGCAGCCTTTATAATTGTGAGAGATGGGAGATGGGAGACAAGCAGAGTGAGCCCTAAGGTTACCCCAGGCAGAGCCATGAGGCCCCCTGAGTCAAGGACAGGGAGGGGGAGAGTGAGGGAAAGCCATAGCGATTCAAGTTCCCAGGGGAGAGTTTTGGAGAGGAGTGAGATGCACACAAAGGGAACTCCTGAGACCTGTCAGAGGTCTCCCTCCAGCATTCAGATGAATCCTCAGCAGCACATAAGACTGGGGAAACTACCCAAGGCCAAGAAGAGATTAGAGAGAACAGTGCTCAGAGCTTAGACACCTGGGCACAGTGACTGTTCTCAAAAGCCAGGGTAGAAAACCTCTTAATTCATGAAGTGTTCGTTAGAGAATTCAGAAGGGTCTGGTCTCAGGAGTGGAGCTAAAGTAACGTAGACTAAAAGCTCTTTTAGTCCAGAGCAACAAAGCTTAAAAGCAAGACCGGAAGAGAGCAAATTATTTCTGAGTAACGTAACCACATGCCAGAGCAAAGCTCAAGAATATTTTTAGGAATATAAAAATATTCAGCACCCAACAAGATAAAATGTACAAAGTCTAGCATCTAAGCAAAAAGAAGAAAATTCAACTCATAATGAAAAGAAAAAACAATCAATAGAAACTAATCCAGAAATGACACAGATGATGAAATTAGTAGACAAAAGCATTAAACTTGTTATAAGAAAATTTCTTATGTTCAAGAATCTAGAAGAGGGCTTCACTGGTGGCACGGTGGTTGAGAGTCTGCCTGCCAGTGCAGGGGACATGGGTTCAATCCCTGGTCCGGGAGGATCCCACATGCTGCAGAGCAACTAAGCCCCGTTCGCTACAACTGCTCAAGTCACAACTACTGAGCCCACATGCTGCAACTACTGAAGCCCGTGTGCCTAGAGCCTGTGCTCTGTAACAAGAGAAGCCACCGCAATGAGAAGCCCACACACCACAACAAAGAGTAGCCCCCACTCATGGCAACTAGAGAAAGCCCACGTGCAGCAACTAAGACCCAACACAGCCAAAAATAAATAAATAAAATAAATAAATTTAAAAAAAAAGAATCTAGAAGAAAGGTTGACTATGTTAAGTGGAGGTATGGAAGCTATAAAAAAGACTTAGACAACAGGTCTGGGTCCTACTGAGGAGATAAAAAATGTCTGTGGGGCTTCCCTGGTGGCACAGTGGTTGAGAGTCCGCCTGCCAATGCAGGGGACACGGGTTCGTGCCCCGATCCGAGAAGATCCCACGTGCTGTGGAGCGGCTGGGCCCGTGAGCCGTGGCCGCTGAGTCTGCGTGTCCAGAGCCTGTGCTCCGCAACGGGAGAGGCCACAACAGTGAGAGGCCCGCATACAGCAAAAAAAAAAAAAAAAAAAAAGTCTGTGATTAAAAAAAACAAAACAAAACACTGGATGGGATTAATAGTGGGTGAGATACCACAGAAGAAAGGGTAAGTAAACTTAAAGACCTGGCAAGAGAAACTGTACAAAACAAAATAGAGGAGGAAAAAACTAAAAGGTAAATCAACAGAGCATCTGTGAACTATGGGATGACTTTAAACATCAAAATGCATGTATAATTGGAGTCCTCACAGCAGAGGTGAGACGGGGGAGAGGGGCTGGGGAGAAAGACAAATATATTTGAAGAAATCTTGACCAAAATTTTCTTGATTAGATAGAAACTATAAACCCACAGATCCAAGAAGACCAATGGACCCAAGCTCAAGAAACATAAAATAAAAAGCAAAAATCCGAGGCAAATCAGAATCAGATTGTTTAAAACCATTCAGAAAGAGAAAAATCTGAAAAAGCAACCAGAAAACAGAGACAATACATAGAAAAGGAAGAAAAATAAGTTTGAGAGCAAATCTTTCAAATATTTCTATAAATAATCAACCCTATAAGAGTGAGTCAATGCATATATACTTCAGTTATGTAAATATGTTCTATGTAAAGTAGCATGTACAAAATCAATGTACAATTTAATGTCAGTTAATTTTTTTTTTTTTTTTTTTTTTTGTGGTACGTGGGCCTCTCACTGTTGTGGCCTCTCCCGTTGTGGAGCACAGGCCCCAGACGCGCAGGCTCAGCAGCCATGGCTC